GATTCATGGAATTTGTTATATAGCTTGGTAATCTTTATATGGTTGCTTTATAAAGCTTGGTTAGATGAGAGATCTAATATTCTTTGGTCTTTGCTCTCAGTTCATGTGGGCTAAAATGGCTTAATGCTGTGGAATTTATCCTATTTCTAATTTTGTATTAATGCAGACAAAATTGTTCTATAAGTTGGCTTAATGCTGTAGTTTATCAGTCTTCTCTTTTTCTCCACATAAATTGATTTGGTTCAATTTTATGTAAATACCAACGTTTTCATTCAGGCTTTTGCTATGATAGCTTGTGCAGATGCCTTGGTGGCCTGCAACTCATTTGGATGCCTTGATGGGGACATCCTGCTGGCTCAGCTGATTTAAGCTTTGATTTTGGAATATTTACATTCATGCCACTAAATTCTTATTTATTTACATCAAATTTTGGGCTTTTCTGAATTTGGAGATAACAAATTTATGGAAGATTTACCTGCATACAACTGAATTCTGATGTATTTAGATATCTAATGTCTCTCAACGATTATTTTTTCTCATACATGCCATCTTACCCATGCATGAAGGTGTATTTCACTTTTTATGTGATATGAAGATTTGAAGGGAATAAATGTAGAAATCAAAGTTTAGTTGTTAGATATGTTAGCATATAAGAACTGGGTGGTATGTAAATGCACAAAGTATCGGGGGGCATGCGTGCAAGTGTGTGTTGAGGTTCTTGGCAATTTTGTTTTATAGAAATCTGAGATTCATATATGCTCATTATGTGGGAAACCTGATGAAAGATTTAGCATCAGAAATGAGAGCCATCTTCGCCACTTTCAGAGCAGGCTTACCAAAACACTTTCAGAGCCATGCTTCTTATATAACTTCATTAGCTGGTACTTCAGCTGTAGAAGATGGAAGTGTATGTTTGCATATCTTACACAGTTTCAGCTTTGGATGAGCTTTGAGAAGTTGGAAGTATAAGCAATTTATATGTAGCTTGGATGGCCCCATGCTATGTATATAGCTTGTATGGCAACCATTACGA